CTCACGTTCCTTCTGAGGTTCAAACCCGTGTCACCCAGTGCTGAATCCAGAGACTTTGCCATTGAGCTATTCGGGCTCGCTACTGACCACCTATAGGGATATGAGTTCCTTTAAGGTTGCAGATACGCCTTGCTGATAAGTGCCAACTAGTACGATTACCTACAACCATCTAATACCAACAATTAACAGTGCATCGTGATGGCAAACCATCTAGCATGGTGGCCACATTGCAAACCTGACTGACGGATAGAATTCAGTTTGCACCAAGTATCAAGGACTAGACACATTACACTAGTTACTACTGACTAGTGTCCAATCAAAGGTATCCAGTACAGGCCTATAGGAGCAGGTGGTCAGTTGCGAGACTGAATAGCTCATTGGTAACACATCTCTGACTGCATTGCTCACTGGTTGACGTCGATTCGAATCTCAGAGGGGATATGAGTTTCTTTTTTCAAGGATGCAGATAGGGCTTGCTGATGAGTGCTAACTAGCACTAAACCTAGGTCCCCCCTTCAGTTCCTGCTAATTTCTTCTTGTCATGTAGGAAAATGTTGTCCAAATCTTCTATGTAATTTGTACATTTTGTATTGTTCAGGTTATACGTAGCCAGTTGAGAAGAATCCTTGAAATGATAATAAAAGCTGAACTCATATTATCATCCTCGTAGACATGTGCCGTTCTTGCTTGATTGAAGTTTATTCACTGTAAGAATTGCATAAAGTCTTTAGAAGTATATCTGGTGAATAATGATTAGCAGTGGAATCCAGGATAACGCGCCTTTCGTCCTATTTGGGACTTATCACCAACTGGATGTGTACCTGCATTCCCTAGTGAGTCAGTGATAGTGTTCCCACTAAGACTAGAACCCTGAGCCTCCAAAATACTATATTCTGGATTCTACTGCTAATCACCATCAACAGATTATTGACTTCAAGTTATATGATCAGACATCGTCGTCGAAGTATCTTCACAAGCAACCAACATGTCAAACTGAGAAAGAGAACTTCGGTCCAATCAATCGACGGAAAACTCTAAAATTGAATTAAATTTTTAGTAGTATGTATTAAGTGTTAAAAAAAACAAGAGCGAAGGAAAAATAACCCGTATTACCCATATTATTTCACCTACCTCTCTAGATGCTTCAACTGTACTCGATCTTTCCAATTTACGCATATTTGCGATTTCTTTTTTACGTGCAGCACTTTCTATCTTCAAATTACTCTTTATTATTATTGTTGTTATGAGTAGTATTAACAGTAGTAGTATAGTTAGTTGAAAAGAAAAAAAGAACACAGAAAATGAAAATATGACAACACACAGGTAGGAAAAAACAACAGCAAATGTAAAACTGTAAAGAAAATTCTCTTCTTTTCGATGAAATCATTTTCAAGAGCTGCGTTTTAGTAAATGTATTACATAATGGGAGTTATAATCTCTAGAGGGATGACTAAGTGGAGAGCAGAGCGGATCAATACTACGCACTGCCATATCCGTAAACTTATTCTAAAACACTGTCCAGCCTGGTTAGCCGGGAGGGGGCGAGGAAAGAAGAACATCGGTGGTCCTGTCCTTGAGCACCATGTCAATCCTGAGCATCAGGCATGCCCCTTCGGTTGCTTCATAGTGTTACATAGGGGCGCCTTAACATCACACGAAAGGGCTTCGTATACTCCATCTATATATAGCCAAATCACCGGCTATTTGGAACGTGGAACCTGACCTCTAAGTTTAAAAGCACTAAATTACATGGTCCGGGGTTCGGTCACCGGCCACAGACGCACTCCTTTACCTCACTTTTCCAGTAATAAGACTGGTAAAGAAGGAAGGTTGGACATGAGGCTAGCAACCCCATCCTGTAAAAATAAACACTGCTACAGAAACTTCAAGCCTCCAGCTTGAAGCCCTATGTTCCACTGGGAACGTGAAGGAAATAAATAATAAATTACACTCACTTGCTTTACTATGACCAGTGTAAAATTCTTGCTATAATTGCCTGATATTTTAGTTTACTAATGTTTTTTTATAAAAATGAGAAGACGTTCACAGCGAAGAGACTCTTTTCGACGGCGAATTCATTCACACAGCTGTCGAGTATTAAGACAGATTATGTTTATTGCAAGTACAGTGATTGAACGAACTTCTTCTATGCACAGAGTTCAGGGCTTCTTAGCAAGTGAATTGCCATTGTTTCTGCAGTTTGAAGAAGTCTGACTTGTACACTTTTAGGAACACTTAACAGCATGATTTTACAAAGGAGAAAAACGATGCCCCCCCAAGCAGGTTTATCTTAGAACATCTGATAGATTTCGAACACCGAGCTACACCCCAAACAAAACTTCAAAGTCATCTACCGAATATGAAGCAGCCTTCCTAAAGGTGTACGAGTCAGACTTCTTCAAACTGCAGAAGCAGTGGCAATTCACTTGCTAAGCTCTGAACTATGCATACCGAAGAAGTTCGTTCAATCACTACACTTTCAATGGACGTATTCTATCTTAATACCCGACAGATATGTGAATGAATTCTCTGTCAAAAAGAGTCTCTTCGTTAAACATCTTCTCTTTTTCATATGACTCTATGGGGATTTTTAAGCTACTTAAATAGTATAATCCTTTCATTATGATTTTGTAACTAGTATTGCCATTGTTCATAAGATAACTTGTATTTCGCAAATATATTTCATCTGGACATCTTCCGTATTCACACTGGATTTCGTCCATTTATATTAATTAGGTAATTTCACACACTTATTGCGTAATTCCATCTTCCATCTCTTGTTTTCTAATCTCCACTTATCCGTTCCCTTCTAGATTACATCTTACATGGCATAATACACTTTCTGAATAGTCTACAAGGTCACCTTATAACCGGAAGGTGCTAGACTCAAACCCCATTGGGTGCGTACTGCCGATGAGTCCCAGACTAGGACGAAACAGCTGTCCAGAATCACTGATAGTTTTCAACGATTTTTGAACTGATTTCAATCCATAGTCAAACTTGTAAATCATGAAGAGTGACTCCAGTAGCGAATCGTGTCACTGTTCAGGGAATCGGTTGGAATTCAGTTACATAACTGAAAATCAATATTATGAATAGGGTATGGGAGGCAAAGGATTACGGCTTGATAACAAAAGTTGTCACTAGAAAACTGATGACTTCACCAGGTAGTCTGAGGATGTATTTATATACACAGAAAAAAAACTCATCCATCCACTCTCCTTCTACCTTGAGTATAATTCTAAGCTCAGTTGTTATGGATATTCTGTTATTAACACGTTTTTTGGCATTTTTCGCTTGCCAATTATTGGCATCTTTAAGTGTTCATCCGACGGATCTTATTGGTCACAGGTTTAATCGCTAATCGATATCAATTAGAAAACTAAGAAGAAGGAATGGATAGCTATCTGATCCTCGTTTCAGGCTGTTCACTGGTTAGCAAACACTGGCTACACGGCGAGCTGCTAGACCTTTCAGTCACAGAGACCCGATTCAGTTACTCGTCGGTGATAATGGCTGGCGATTGCGCTGTAAATCGCAAATTGGTAGAAGCTGGAATTCATGGCTGGCCATTGGACCGGCCCTAGGGGCTGAAGGGTCTACAAGTTCACCTTGTAACCAGCATGTGGATGAATACTGCTGAAGAACAGTGTCAAACTACGACACTACTCCCCGGTTTTGGATTTCTTAGCTAAGTTTTCGTTCACTCTGTTCACCTGTCACATAATACATATTTTGACACTTGTCTCCATGCTTTTTCAATAACACCTGATTTCTCCGAACGACTTCTCATATTACGCAACCCTCAGTTAGCACCTTGGTTGCAATCTAATTAGTCTTCGCTGATTTGAAGTATTCTAATGTTCTAAACAATATTCTTATGCCATGTTTGTGACATATATATATAGAGACCTAATTTTCTACATGTCATTTTTACGTGTGTGTTTGGACTTCTCTCTGCCCACTTATTGATTTATGACCGAATTTTCTCTCACCCTACTTATGACCTTTAAAATCTTATTGGTTGTTTACTGTCTTAATTTTTCAATGAAATTTGTGCTTCTCAAGGCCATTTCAAACATATATACGTTCAGGCACTATTAGCTTTTTCTGACTGTTGTTTTGAGATAGTAAAAGCTTCCTGACCAACGTTCAGTCTTCTCTCCTACCTTTTCACCGCCGGGCAGTTAGGATAGATTAACCAGCGCATTAAAGTTAGTCTTCGCTCGTAGTCAACTGTGTCATAGTTCCAGTCATAACAGTTTGACAGACTTAATGCACATACACAAACATACAAAATAATTATGGATAATTGAAATTGTACAGCTAAGTGAATGAATTCGCTACAAAAAGAGTGTCTCATTGCTGAACGCCTTGCCCTTATTTTCATGTCTGGAGGGGTATTTTACGGAAATCTATAATTATATCAATGGTCGAGTGACAAATTCTCATTGTTGGGGATCACGTACCTATGAAAAAACACGAGTCAGGCAAACCCTTAATTTTAAATACTCCGAATAGCTGCTTTCCCGTTTCTCCTGATAAAAGAAAGCTTTAGATCAAAATTAAGAATTAAGTCCACATTTGAGTGGCAAACATTACTCTGTATACTAATGATTGATTTAAATAGTGCTTGTAAGCCGACCACCAGGTCGTAAAGAGCTAAACACCGGAGAGGTGTTTCACTTATTCGGCGCCGAGTTCATCAGTGGTGTACGCCATACGACTCAACTAAGAAAGGTGTATTCTGAAACATCCCTGTCATCATGGCTATTTTGTAGATATTAGGTCAGGAAGGAGAAATGTCCAAGAAGCAATTATCAATGCGGTTTTCACAGACAATTACTAATTGTTTTTTAACTCTTGCAGTTAGTAATGGTCATGGAGTTAGCTGACATAGATTTTTATCGAATGATCTGAATTGAACTGGATACAGCATTACTGAACTCGACTCCAAACGTGTTAAGACCAACTTTAATTTATGAATGCCATGAACTTACACGGACATGTTTAATTTCTTCTCCATAAGCTGCTAATGGATTGACAACTTTACCAACAATTCGATCAACCTATAAATTAAAAAACATATAAATCACTTATTGATTTATCGATTACTTCAGTATGTCGATAATCTTCCACTGTAGCAAGATATTCTGATACTTTATGTAATGCTTCTGAAGTTGTACGACTTATTTTCTCTTTAAGTGAATAATCTAAAATAATTCGAGAGATTTCATCACCTAAAATTCAGTAGATCAATATTATTGATTGATTGACTGATTTTAATTTCAAAACTTACCATTATTACGTAATTTAGCTGTACGTCTTGTATAATTTACAAGTTCTGAGCATAAATCACCAAAAAAGGCTTCAATTTCATTGATACGTTGATTGACAAATTTCGCTTGATTTTCACTAAAATATAAATATACAAATATATACTTTTTTTCAAGTATTGATTTTGTAGGGATTTCGTCTGATTGGATGGAGGTTTTCATCATGAGCTGACATTAGTTAAAAAACCACTGGAAAACCTAGGAGTACTGGACAGCTGTTTCGTCAGCCTAGTTTGGGACTCTTCAACCGGACCAGTAGGGTACAGCAGGTTGAAGATGAGGCAGTAACCCACTGAAGAAGACATTGTGAAGTGGTCGCGCTATGTCATGAATTGGCAGAAGTTAGAATTCATGCACTAGCTGGTCATTGGATCTGGTCCCAGTGGCTTAATGGTTAACGAGCTCGTTAGACGTGTAACCAGGAGATCCTGGGTTCAACTGTCGGTGGGTGTGTAGTGATGACGAGTCCCAAAGTAGGCGGACAAAACAACTGGCTGCCCACTACTCCCTGGCAGGTTTTCCAGTGGTTCTCTAACTAATGTAAGCTCATGATGAAATCCTCTATCCAGTATATTTACATTTCTCTAGACAAAATTCTTATATATAAATAATGAAATCAGGTGTAGTAATAAACTTGTTATGCACTTAGATAGGGCATTCATGTAAAATCAGCCTAGTGAATAACTTTCAGTGATTAGTTTCTAGGGGTTTGATTTATTTTAAGTTCGATCATGAATTGATATCAGTCAGAGAAGCGGTGTAAACCAGGAAGTACTAGATAGTTGTTTCGTCCCAGTTTCGCCCTCTTCATCGGTACACACCGATGACCCCAAAAGAGATAGACTCCCGGTACCTTTAGGTTACAAGATTAAGCTTGTTGACCATTCAACTACTTGAACTGGGAATTCAGTAACTAGTGAATTCTAACTCCTGCCCCTTTTCGCGATTTCAGGGTGACTGTCAGCCAATATGAGCGTTGAATATTCGTCCTTATACCCGACCTTGTGGACCTCACCGGTCATAAATTCTCACTAAAACGCCAGGCAACATCGTCCTGCAGCCAATGACTCCCCAGGATCAGATTATTTTCGAGAGTTAGTTTTGGTGGTTGTGCGAAAATCACAAACTGACAGAAGTCGGAATTCACAGGTCATTGAATTTCGGTCTAAGTAGCTGAATAATCAACGGAGTTGACCTTATAACCTGAAGGTTGGGAGTTAGGTCGCTCCTGGAGAGGTCATAGATGCGTAATGTTAGAGAATCGCTAACTAGAACTAAACACCTACACAGTAGTCCATGGTTTATCATGGTTCTGTAATTGATTTCAGTTAGTGAGTGGAGTGAGTAACACTTTGACACTTGTGTGATCATAGATGTTTGTTCTTTTATCTCCTGTGTTGAGTGGTGAAACACCAAAAGCAACAGTAATAACAATAACAGACAACAATCAGCCAACATAAATGGGAGGAATCTGAAAGAAACAACCTCCTTTACCTATCCACCCACCTGGGAAACATCGTTTCAACTACAGGTGGACGGAATTGATGAGGATATCAAAGCAAGGATCGGGAAAGCAAGACAAACTTTCATTACTCTCAAGTCTGTGTGGAGGTCAAGAGCATTCAGCATGAAAATTAAAATGAAATCCGGATTTTCAACTCCACTGTGAAGTCACTGCTACTATATGGATCAGAGACTTGGCGCGTCATGAAGAGCACCTCAAACAAACTATGGACCCTCATCAACAGCTGCCTTCGCTCAATACTTCAAGATCAGACGGCTGAACAGATGAGATCAGCAACAGGGACATCTGGGAGCGAACCAACGCATCAGGGACCGATTATGCAACAAATAAGCAGGAAGAAATAGAGGTGGATTGGCCATACTCTGAGGAAACCATCAAGTAACATCACACGACAGACCATCGCTCGAGTGGAACCCGAAACCCGGGAAGCGGCGAGTTGGTCGTCAGTGCAAGGGTGACTTGAAGGAGGTCATGTGAAGAGGAGATGAAAGCAGGTGGGCAGACTTGAAGCCAGGTGAAAACTTTAACAGAGAACCGAACGCAATGGAGACGTGTGGTTGAAGCCCTATGTTCCTCTAGGAATTAAAGGAAATAATAATACTGCAATTGGGAATAGAGTGTTAAGTAAGAAGAGCACGCTAATCGATCAGGTTGTGATGCTGTATCGAATGAGTTGTCTAAGATGTATGTTATACATGACGAGTCATCGCCTTCCTTCCTCAAGAAATGCTAGCCGACATGGGATTAGGTTAGAAAATAGTTGCTGGTGGTCAAATCAAAATCTGTCATCAATCCATGAAGTCTTTGACTGCTGATTTAAGACAGTCAAATAGAAGAGAGGTGCAGACTGCTTGATTCGGATTATTGGAATGTTAAGAACCAGAGGTTGGAGACAATTGGTGGTATTGTGAGGAGAGCTGTCTACTAGCTAAAACTGTAGACAGCAGTTTACGTCAATGTTTACGTCTCTAATTGGGGTCATGAGAAAAAACAATAACAGAGCTTAACCCTGTTAAGCTAACTAACCAATCACAGCACACTTAACGTGTGCAGATATATGGCCTGACTATCTTAGAAACTGTCACAAGCAGTACAGAATAACCTTCAGCGAGAAAACAACCAATTAGATGTTGCTTCTCTGCTAACAATAACGCTATGCGTCGGTGGCACAGTGGTTAGGACTCTCGCCGATCATGCACATAGTCCGAGGTTCGATCCCCTGCCGAAGAAGCACACCTGATATCTGTGGTCGGCCTGCAAAATTTGGGCTAACCGATATCCATGCTGAAAATTCCATACTTGTACCGAAAATACAGTGTGGAATCAAGCTGTAAATTAAAAATTAAATTAATAATAATGTACATAAAAATCTATAAATATCTGTTGATTTTCTCAAAAGACGATCTGTTGCCTGGCTCTTGTCTTCTGTAGTTACCGTATGACTCAATGTCGCTCTCACTGGTGGTGTAGACGCATTCAATCTTTGTAATAGCCCATAGGAATTAGATTCTCACGTTTTGCTATGTTACCATGCTTTTTCTCGCATATTTCTGTTTATAACAGTTCTTCTGAGTTTATTTTTCTCTTTTCTCTACATTTTTGTGGTATCTGGAGTGTGACAACTTGAAGTGCTACCCTTCTATGCAAAGATCTGCGTTGAAAATTCATTTTGTCTTTGGCGCTTGAAACAATAAATCCTTACGTTCGAGTTTAAGTGAGAATAACATGATCTTTTAGAGCGTAGGTACCGTTCAACTGATGAGTTACGAAGTGAACGAAATGTACAGCATGTAATTACACTAGTAGCTACCACAACAACTAACTTGAATTGATGATGAGGTCCATCTTACTGTCTGAATGGACAATGAACTCGCTTCATAACTTGTAGGCATTGGGTTCGAACTCGAGCGAGTTCATGAGTGCATACTAACGAAGTGTGCCAATTTGCAAAGCTTTCATTGTCCCACCACTAGGAAACAATCTTCGGAGAATACTTCAATTCGATGAAGTGAGCTGTTAGATTTCTCCACAAGTTTATGAGTCATCTCTCTCCTGGTGGGTGACCTTGAACGTCGTGATTAGTTGTTATTATGTGTACCCACACCTTCTAAGGCTAACTTGTATTGGAACTGATTGTTTCCTTGACTTGAACTTGGACCCTTTGTATGTGGAATTTCATTCTTATCGGTAGATAACTTTTGTCTATGTCAGTGTGTCTACTGATTGAAAATTCACTGGAATATCAAGGCTTCTAAAAATTCTCTAACATTCATGACATTTCCTCTGTTTAATATTTGAACGTTATCCGTGATTGTCCGTATATAAAACGATATGTGGGAGTGGATGTCATGTCTTTTAGTGGCTAGCTTATGTTAATAGATACTAAGACTAAGGGACGTCCGCTTTTGCCAATGTATGAATTCTAACTTCTACCAATTCATGATTTATCGCAGCTGCCAACCAATGTCACCTGACTGGATAAACCTCATTGGTCACGACTTCTCACTAGACCTCCGGGAAACTCCATCCTGTAGCAAGTTACTAGCGCGCATTTACATATATATAAGGAACAAGACTCTCATTTTCAGTACCAATGTCAAGTTGGTCCTCCAATACGGGTAGGAAACTTGGTCAGCGTGTCACAAAAATGATTCCCAAACAGTCTACTGCAGAATTTTACCAACAACTGCCACCTTCGCTGGCTGGCTGGCTGGCTCCACTTTGAAGATCAAACGGCCAATCAGAAAGAATTAACTTCAAGAAAGTCTGCAGTGGAAGTAACCGAAAGATGAGAGCCGATTGCTTTACAAATATGTAGGAGAAAGTGGAGATGGATAGATCAGGTATATGTTGAAGTGGCCATCGAATGACATCACCCTCAATGCAGGCCATTGCTCGAGTGGAGGTGGAATCGGAAGCGGCGACGAGTGGGTGGTCGGCGCGGGGAAGACATGGAGAAGATCGCCTGGTGAGGAGGAGGAGGAGAAGGAGGGAATGGGAGATTATGGGCGATCGTGAGGTAAGCTGAAGAGGACAGCAAAGAAGAGAACAATGTGGAGGTGTTTTGTTGAAGCCTTATGTTCCAGTGGGAACCTAAGGGAATAATAATAATAATAATAGTAAATAACAATAATATAAACAAAGCAAGAAGGTTGTGTGTGTGTGTGTGTGTGAGTACTGGCTTGATATGATCATGAGCTGCAGTGATGAATTGCTCGTCCATCTAGTTTGGGACTCTTCGTCAGTACGCACCCACACACACACACACAAGGAATCGAACCCAGGACCTTCTGGTTACAAGGCGAGCTAGCTCGTAGACCATTAAGTCACTGGGACCCCATCTAATGGTCAGCCAGCCCATGAATTCTAACTTCTGCCAATTCACGATAATTAAATGCCTAAAATTAATAATTCTTAATAGAGTTTATGGGCCAAGTTAAACTTTCGACACCACTAACTACCAATCAGCGAACGACATCGAATTATCCAATGAGATCCGCGAACGTAGTTCAATGTTGTATAGCGCTTGATTCATTTCTAATGCGTGACCTAAA